AAACTAGCACTAGTTAGGGTAATGAAATGTCTGTACAAAAACAACCAAGCTCAGAGAGCACCAAGAATCTGCATGTTTGAGATAACTGTGACAATTGGACTCAGACATACTCTGATACGATATAAAGTTGGACCTTGATTTTGTGTCATGTTAAACCTGGAACAATTAAGAGAAAGAAAAAAGATGTACTGGATTATGAGTTGAGGGAAAGAACTTGAACAAAAGTGCTAAATGTTACCACAGCCCAGTTATATCATAAAAAGAGTCCAGGTTTTCTTTTATTTGGCTGGATAACTTTGGGCCAGTCAATCTCTTACTGACCAACCCACCTAAGAGAGTTCTTGTTCAGAAATATAATGCCTACCACATAAAGCAGGGATGCCAAACTCAAGGCCCGTGGGTTGGATCAAAGCCCATGGCCAGCAGTTTGGGGAGTGGTGTCAAGCTGTCCACGCCCACCCAGTTGGCCACACCCACCCAGTTGACTACACCTGCCCGGCCCACCAATGTCAACCACAGCCCTGATGTGGGCCTCAATGAAATTGAGTTTAACACCCCTGACATAAAGCCATTCAAATATCATTCAAATAATCCAGCACACATTTGGAGAAAGCCCCATAATTCAACACTTTGTAATAAAATATTTTAAATAAAGACCTTTAAATTTGAAGCCACAGGTCTAAAACAATAAGGAAAATATATTAAATGATTCAAAGAAAATTTTTGCCCATTTAATAGGAGCCCAAGTTACATCTTCAACATAATTAGTAGCTTGAATCTGAAATCTGTTTTGCATTAATACAAGGATTTCATGCTTCATTTTTGTAGTTTGTTTATTTTTCTTTTCTGGCTTACTAAACCAATTTGTCTGATTTCTTGGCTGCTATATATTTTTCAGTTTGGAAAACTTTAATACCTCCATATTTGAGAAACAGTTTATTTTTTAGTACAAATGGGAGGGAATATCTCAGAAGCCCTTCATGGGTCCAATTTTATAATCTTCCCAGTGAAACATATCTGAAGTAATACTTTCATCTTATTTAAATTATTCACCCACATGAAATAAAACAGGTCTTGGCTCTCCAAGGTACAAAAATAGAAAAGAGATTCTGAAGTAGAGTAATAAAATATATTCATATCAGTTTTGCTCTTATTCTAGGGTTAGACTTTCATTTTAACCAACAGAATTTCTTCTACAATCAAAAGTGATTGATTTCATAATTTTAACTATGTATTTAACCCAGTAATGTAATCCTACACACGTTTCCTAGTAGATTACTCTGTGTGGAATTGAACAGAAGTATTGTATTTCTGATATTCATTGATAATCAAAATGCAATATTAGAAATCTAAAGGGCAATTCCTATATTAATCTAATTGAATTAGTTTTCAAATGTTCCAAAATTATATACCAAGCAACATTTTTTTTTTATTTTTAGTTGGGAAATCTATTCTATTGGTTAAGAAATAGAGGGTTTGTTTTTTAAAAAAAAAAACTAGGTATGGGAGAAATTTGTCTGATTTTCGACCCATGATTGCATCAAGTTTTTGTGTTAAGGGAATAAGTGGGACACTAAAGATGCAGATTATAATATCATCTGATATAGGAGAATGTCTAATTTCATATGGGTCACTCAAAATGTGCTAAGTATTCAGAAGTACTTAGAACTAATATTTCTAAAAATACTAATTGATGGGCTTTACATGGAAAATACTTCACTGACAATAATTTCAATGCACCATGTGTACAATTTTAGCATTTTTCTGCTCATGTAATCAGCAATTACAGTTAGTCCTTGACTTAAAACAGTTTGTTTAGTGTGATGATCCATAGTCTCTCAAAATAACCCAAAACATATATTAAAGTCCAGTAAGGCCTTCAACTTAACTTCACTGTTTTATTAGGCACAGTTTAAAGTCACAAAAGTAAATAATGAGGCAAACAAAAAACCAAAACAAACCGCATTGATAAGAGTTCCGAAGCAAGCAAAGATAACTAATTATAAACTCCAGGAAAATAACCGAGAAAAGTCCATGGGAAGAACGCCAGCAAAGATAAGCCTCTTTCAAGGTAAACACTAATTGACTTCAGCAATTCTAACTGAGCAATTGCAAACTTATATACATAGCTCCTAGCTGCAAGCCACAAGGAGGATCATGGTAATCTCCTCTTGAGTAGACCTCACTTTTCCCTGATCCTCTCTTCCCTGTGTGACCTAGGATGGATAGGGCCTGGATCCTCCTCTGACTGCTCAGCTGGCCTCTGCCCTTCCCCAGCCTCCTCCACCACCTCTGGAGCCACACTCCCACTCCCTGTTGGCTGTTCCTCCTCTTCCTCAGAGTCAGACTCCACCAGGGGCATGACATTTAGTGACCTGTTCGAAGTTACAACGGCCCTGAAAATAATGACTTATGACCACTTTTCACACATACGACCATTGCAGAATCCCCATGGTCATGTGATTTAGATGCTTGACATTGTTGCAATGTTCAGGAGTCGTTTTGTGACCTTCGGACAAACAAAGTCAATGGGGAAGCCAGATTCACTTAACAACCATGTTACTAATTTAGCAACTGCAGCGATTCACTTCATAAATATGGCAAGAAAGGTTGTAAAATGGGACAAACTCACTTAACAAATTTTTCACTTCACTTAACTAACATAGACTTTGTGCTCAGTTGTGGTTATAAGTTGAGGAATTGTTTAATAGAGGATCAGTTTTTTCACATATATATAAATATGGAGCAGTTCCATATTTAACACGAATATTTTATGTTGGTGTAACTGATAATCCCTAGGTGAATCACGAAACAGACTCCTTGTCCTGACAAAAACCCTTTTATTATTATTTATTCCTATGATTCACATGCAGTAAAGTCTCAGCAAACAGACTTTCAAGGGTAAATTACAACCACAGACCTTATCAGGCTTGGAGAGCTGCCAGGCCGATAGCTTCCAAGCACAACACTGTACAAGAAAATACTTGGTAAGGAGTCTCTGAGTCACAAACAAATCTTCACACTAATTAAATGAACTATTTGTCTCCTGCAAACACCACTCCCCTTATGCTCCTCTTTATTCCCTATGGGAGGGGCCGTTCACCATCCACCTGTGCTTTTACTCCCAAGTCAAAGCTTGTTCCTTAACTGTTCCCTTCTTCCGGCAGCTCTGCACATGCGCACATAGGGAACAGGCTGCAGCTACTCTTCTGCCCCTCTGATCTCCAACTCTGAAGGCAGATGATAACTGTCAGATGGCCCTGGCCCCAGCTCTGCTTCTGACATAGAGCACTCATCAGAGTCTTCCCCAGACTCTAGGACTGGCCCACATTCCTCCCCAACTTCCTCACTGTCCGAGTCTGCTGCCAACTCTGCTGGCCGCTGGCAGGCCATAACATAAATTCTGAGTACTGGGGTTGTTACTGAGATTCAGTCATGTCCCGTTCCTGTTAAGACTGAGACAAATTCAAGAAAATTGTATCTGATAGATTACTTTTATTTTGAATTTCATCTCTTATACTTTCAATTATGCTTAAATTACATTGTGAACCTGTGGGACCAGGCTGGGTTAAAAAAAAATCAAAATCTAATTGATTAAGCAAACCACCGTGGAGTATGGGTAAAATTAGATACAGCTTGCAATGAATAAACTGGCCTGATTTTCTATTTCTGTGTGGGTGTACATTCATGCAGGTGGGTATCAGGGTGGATCTTCCAAAATATGGATATGGGATTTGGATTCAGGTTGTGGCTTTTACTGTTTTTGAAGGTAGCATCTGCTTGCATGGGAGGAATGTGGTTTGCAAAGGTCATGCCCCCAATCTAAATCTTCCTGACATCCTGGTTGTATTTATTCAGAGATGAGGATGCTGTGGAACGGATTACGGCTATCCAATAAACAGTATATTAAACATGCGCAGTTTTGCAGTAGATTACATCCAAGAAACACAACTATTTAACAGAAGCGAGGCACAGAAACGTGGAACCTGCCTTACGGCCTCAGACCATTGGCCCATCAGGTTCAATATGGTTCATCCTGCTTGGAATTGATCTCCAGAGCTTCAGGTAAGCTTCTTAAGTTTTGAGGATGCCAAGAAATGAAGCTGTGGCCTAAGCAAGGGTTTATATCATAAACCAAGGATGCTGAAATAAGAAACTGCAGTGGTGTCTGCTGAAATTCTGAGCAAGTGCTCCAGGTTATCCCATTTGCTGTCAAGTTAAGTAAGCCATATAGAACAGGTTATTCTCTGATTTAAGGGTGATTACCCTCCCTGTTAACATTTAGGAGGTAATGCAAACTATTTTCTTATTCTTTTCATTTTTGGTCCCCATTTGCTGTTGGCATCTTTCTTTCTTTCTCTTTTTTCTCTCTTTCTCTCTTTTTTTTCCTCTCTCTCTTCTCTCCTCCCTCCCTCCCTCTCTATCCATTCACCTGCAATGCAAGACCTTCAGCCGAAAGGCAGAATATTTACTACTGGAGTTGATCGGTCAAGAAGCCATGAAGAGTTTATGGTGTAAAAATACCACTTTATATTGTACATAGAAGCAAAAAGTCCCATAAAACACACTTAATATCTGACCAACCAGCTACACTTGGGAGTACCAAGGCACTGCATTTTGCTTTAACTTCTGGGCAATGAATTATTTTCCTTCATGATTTTCAGTGTTCTGCTTTTGTTTTTGTAAGCCTTTAGTAAAGCTTTAGCATAAAATATATGTAAAATAAATAAAGAAATGGAAATCTATTTGTCATGCCCTGTTAGAGTCTGAATCCGAAGAGAAAGCTGAACAGCTGACAGGGAATAGGAGTGTGGCTCTGTTGACTGTGGAGGAGGCTGAGGAAGGGCAAAGTCCAGCTGGGCAGAGCAGGGAAAAGATGGAACAAGGGAGAGGGAGTTCAAAGGAAGACCCAGGCCCACCCCCTCTTCGTAGTAGGGCACACAGGGAGGAACTGAGAAGAGAGCAATGTGGATTGTGTGTCTTACAGAAGAGGAAAGGGCCCTGATTCCCTTCATTAGCCACAGCTGGGAAGACATTTGATAAGAAAAGCAGGCTGCGTGCGGCAGGCAACATGTTGCTTTATGCCAATTGTATTATGCAAATAGAAAAAATGATGTAATAATCATAATAATTTTATATGATGCCAGAATCCCAGGGACCCTTGGCAGTCTACAAAATGTAAAAAAAAAAAAGCATTTAAAACCAAACAATAAAGATGGCAGAGATTTAGCACAGAAAAATCCCAATTTGCTTATGCTCAAGTATTTCCATAATGGGGAATGAGCTATATGAACTATCTATTAGAAATTCTAACTTACATTAATTCACCACAAAATCAAGGTATTTGGTGGATCTGATTTTTTTTTAAGTGTCCCTAAGAGGTTCTTGTAACATTTTCTTTCTTTGCTATCTCAGAAATGGAAGCCATCCTGCAGAACCATAGCATAAGCAACATAATTACTGACTTTTCTGTATGAGTCTTTTTCCCATGCAGTTTTTTTTTCTTAAAAGTTATAGGGCAAACACAATGGAAAACTCAACACATCCATCCTATAAGGCAGCAATGTCAAACTTGATTTCATTGAGGGGCTGCATTAGGGTTGTGTTTGACCTCAGGGGGACAGGGTGGGTGGGGCCAGCTTGACATCACTCAATATATCTACATAAAATGGAAGCAGCTTGGGTTAAAATCCCAGAAAGGGTATGGCTAGCTAGTGAGAACTAAATAGCTTGAAATAGATCTATACTAGTCTCCCTTTATTTCTTCGTTGGTAAAACATAAATTCAACACAAAAATAGTTTGTTGCAAAAGCGACTGACTGCAAAGGCCCCTGGATTGGGGTTGAAAGGCAGAAGCAGAGCAGTATGCTCCATCCCATAATTGGGTAAACCAGGTTGCCCTGATAAATGGTTCTCACTGGAGAAAAAACACAGAAGCAAAAATATATGATCAGGTGAAGGCTTAAGTTTACATTTGTAGTCAAGCATCACCAGCATAATTTATTTTCATAACTGCTCCAGATCTTCCACGGGATATTGACATATCAATCAGCCTTTGACTCTCTCGGTCAGGGGTGTCAAACTCAAGGCCCACGGGCAGGATCTGGCCTGTGATGTGGTGGGATCTGGCCCATAGGGCTGTCCTGATCTACTCAGTGTGAAGAGGAAACATGGCAGCAGTTTGGGGAGTGGCATCAAGCTGGCCACGTCCAACCAGTTGGCCATACCCACCCAGTAGGCCACACCCAGCCAGCCCCCTGAGGTCAATCACAGCCTTGATGCGGCCCTCAATGAAATTGAGTTTGACACCCCTGCTCCAAAAGAATTGGAAAGCAGTTGATTCTTCTCTTCTAGGGAATAATTATTTTTAAAAGGTCTGGGGAAAAACCCCATCCCACCTCTACATGATTTCTCTAACTGTTTTTTTTTTTCTTTTTCACCTAAGAGAATGCTATAACCAGATTAGGTAAAGGGCCTTGTGATTCTGTTAATCAGCAAATTTGCATTGGCAGAAGAATACAGAAAGGAATAATCAACATTACTAAGAAGTTGAGTCTTCTCTATAGAGGATACTAAAACCTTTCAGGATTTTTTTTAAATAAAATGTATTGTTAACTGTGCTGGTGAGATATGATAATTTTGTACCATTGAACGTATTGAAATACTGTCAAATAATACTAGAGTTTAGCCATATTAAGAAATCGATAAGTAAGAGAATTAAAACAGAAATACTATTTTATCATGTAAAAGAAAACAGTTATATGGAATTTCTGTTTCTGGATGTGGATGAAAGATTTCTCAGATGGTTTCTAAAACAGAATTACCCAGAGGATAGGGCTAATGCGGAATATGAAATATTACAACAAATGAAACTCTGAAATTGGAGGCAATTGTTCCTCCCTTCAGTTTTCCATAAATTTTAATTTTAAGCTGTTAGAATATATTTTAACTAGCTTGTCATTTCATCTGAATGGAGAAGCTTTTCTATGTGTATGGTGTATGGTAACAACATAGCCTCTTGTTATTTATTCATGACAAATGAATAGCAATGCAATCCAAAAGTAGAAATTGAGTGTATCAAAATAATGTTCACAGGTTTCCTCGTGTACAAGCAAATATTTTTTTAATTAAAAGATGAACCAGTAAGTTATCTGTAATAATACAATATTATGTAGTAGAGGTTAGCAGGCAGGACATATGATTTGGGGCTGGAAGAAACTTTTAGATGTTTGCTATCTACATAGTGTTAAGAGAATGCTAATTCCTTAATAAACAGCATTATATGACAAACACTACTGTGTAACTCTTGCCAAATAGACATTTTACCTCAGTTAGCTGTTGCTGTGGCAACCTGTTGTAGTAAGAACAGCTTAAACCTGTTCTGAGTATGCAGCAATTATCACAGCCATCGAGGTAAAATTCTATGCATGAAATCATAGAATAACTGTTCAGGGTACAAAGGGCTTGCTGTAGACCCTCAGTTACTACTGAGCTATTCTTAGAGTACTGAAAGAAATTGGTGCAACAGCTTATACTTACTATTAATGTGGTTGATCAAAGTTGGGCGGCCCTGAATCTATCCCTTTCAGAGATTATTTTTCAAACCATAGGGTAACCCAATTTCTTGAGAATCCTGGTCTGTGTAACCATCAATTTAAGTCTTATCCAGTTTTTATAGAGTTAATGCTTGGATTATGGAAAATATTTTTTCTGACACTTCAATAAGAACACGATAGCTCAAGGATGAGAGAGAGAGAGACACAGAGAGAGAGAGATTCTAAGGGTAGAAAAAAAAATAGCTGAAGTACTTCCTTGGATATATCTTCTGAGATTTTAAAATCTGTTATTTCCAACTGATGACATGATAGCCACCTAAGGGGTTGCCACAAAGAAAAGAAGTTGTAAATGCTCCAACACTGGGAATTTTTAAGAAGAGTTTGATCAACCATTAGTTTGAAATGGTGTACAGTTTCCTGTCTGAGCAGGAGGTTAAATTAGAAGACCTCCAAGGTCCCGCCCTGTTGTTCTATTATTATTCTATTCTGTTATTCTCCTCAGAATATATTCTAAAAAACTAAAATATATTTGGGTACATCTGCATTTATGGGATCTGTACCAAAAGGGATAGTCCAATAATCTGAGAATTGTCCTTTTAAGTCAAATGCTGGAGGGAATATCTGCAATTCTATATAGCCAACCAGAACTGTATTGATCATTGGTATGATGTAATCCCTGATGGATGAAGTTTACTATCATCTACTTCTGGATCTATAGCGCCATAGAAATCTAGGTAACTGTTTCATTGTTTCCTCCTACCTAGTTACTGTTCACCTTACCTCTATTTTATTTTTGTCTAACTGCCAAAGAAATGTATATAGAGATTCTTAATCATCCAGGTTATAGTTATCCTAAGGGTGGACTTTCTTGTCTTTTTGCTTAACATTTTACTTCTTATCCAAGAAGCTTCTTCATTTCAGAGAATCCAAGAACTGAAGAAGCTTCTTGGATGAGAATCAAAATGTTTGGGATGCCAAAGAAATGTAACAAATAAATTATTAGACTTTATTAGATTTTAAGAAATCCTGTGATTTTTAACAAATGTTTAAAGCAGGGACACCATTTGTTCCATGTAGACTGCAAAATCACCCATTTAAACCAAATATTTCTGGTGATTTCTTCATGTTTATGCCTACTATTATGAATATTTTCCATCAAATTTTCCTTTGTGTAATTGTTCCACATCACTTAAATTAGCCCTTGTGGGCACTGCCAGGTCCAAAACATTTATAGTTCGTTATCTTAACAAAATCTCTTTAAGAATCATTTGTAAATGAGATTCACAAACATTCAAAACAAAAGACAGTGTCCCCCCCCCCCCCCCCCCAAAAAAAAAAAAAAAGATCTTTGGTGTCAATAATATCCACTAGGGATACATTTTACTTTAACATAATGATTCTAAACCTTTTAAAATATGTTCATGGTCTAATAGTATTTTCCTAGATATCCTGTAAGCAGAGCATCAGATCTGCATTTCATTATGTTTCATGATATAGTGCAGGCACTCAAGTTCTTGAGAGCCACTTCACTGCAGTGGTTAAGATTCCAGACTAGAAATTGGAAGAGTATAATTTGTAGTCCTGCCTTAGGCATGAAGCCAGCTGAATGGATCTGTCTTTTACCCTCTCAGCCCTAGAAACTGGGCAATGGCAAATCATTTCCAAAACCTTGCCTATAAAATCACAGAGTGGGGTGATGTTGATTTTTCTTCTTCTTTTTAACTGTTGCTTTGAGCCACCCAGAGTTATGGTTCAAAATAAGCAATCCTAAAGACAGGGGCAGGCTTCAAATTTTTTAGCAAGGGTCTCTCTGTCCTAATGACTGGCTGGGTAGGCATGGCTGGTCATGGCTGGCTGGTCATGTGGCTTGGTGGGTGTGGCTAGGTGGTAATGTGATCCAGTGGTCATTTGATTGGATGGGCATGGCTAGGTGGTCATGTGACTGGATGGGTGTGACCAACTCGACATCGCTTCTTTCCCCTAATTACCTAAAAAAGATATATACCAAAAAGTTGTTTATTATTTTGTGCATTTAATACTTAAATAAAAGACTGGGTGAAATCAGGCTTAATAGCAGTGACTGTGAGAGGGATCTTGGAGTCTTAGTGGAGTTTCTGGTGAGTTACGTGATTCTTATTATTTGGGAATTAATCCTGTCGGAGGCTAGTGGCTATGTTATGTGATTTTCTCAATGGTTCTCATTTGCAAGCATTGAGTAGATTATTTATCTAGCTTGCAACACTTTCACGAGGTGTGAAATGCTCTTGGCTGAATGCCCAGAAGTTCAATTACGCCCATTAAGAGCTTTCCCTTGCTGCTTATCTTTCTGAGGTTATTGGGGGCCCTCTGAGCCCCACAGTCTTAGCTAGGGGCTCTCCCGAGCCCCTGCAAGCCCCCCAGCAGCCGACCCCTGCCTAAAGATAGTCCTCAAGTTACAACTACAGTTTTGCCTGAATCTTCTGCTGCTAAGAAATGTGAAAAATAAGTGAATCATTACAACTGTAGATCTTGCCCAGTTTTATGACCTTTTTTTGGCCATTTGCACTCAGTTAACATTTTTATTGCATTATAAAATACAAAGTAAATAGAAAAGCAGTGGGGGAAGGGAAAGAGAAGTGAGGAAAGATAAGGAAAAAAGAAAAGAAAAAGAAGCATTGACTTCTGACTCTTTCTGTTACAGTAAAATAAGGCATTAACGTCAAATCACAACTTTTTGCTTTTTCATAATAAAAATGACCAAGTCATTTCTATAAAGATCTACCAGTCTAATCAGTAAAAGCTAAAGTCAGAGTTTCATTCTTTTCTACATCAAACACTAAGTTCAGAAGCGGTTTCCATGTGGAAACAAAAGTGCTTATGTTTTTTTCTTTAATTAAAGTGGTCAATTTTGCCATTTCAGCCAACTCCATCAACTCCTGCAACCATTCTTCCATGGTAAGAATCAAAGTGTCCTTCCATTTTTGTGGGTACAATAGTCTTCCTGCTGTCAACATATATAATAACAAAGTTCCATTTTTTCTCCACTTCTTTGCCATTTGCATTAAGTGAATTACCACAATTATTAGCTGAATAACATGATCATTAAGAAAATATGGCTTCCACCATTGATTTTGCTTGTGAGAAGGTTGCAAAGGATGATCACATAACCCCAGGATACTGCTACCACCATAAGAAAGTCTATGATTTCCTTTTTTAAAAGCTAATAATGTTTGTAGAGGCCATTAGGAAAAAAAAAAGAATCATCCTAATGAGAAATTTTCTGGCAATGAGAACAATCAACCAATGGAACAGAAGTTGCCTTCAAAAGTTGTGGGAGCTTCATCACTGGAGGCTTTCCATGAAGATATTGGACTGCCATCTGTCAGAAGTGGTGAAGGGTCTCCTGCTTGGGCAGGGAATTGGACCAGATGACCTGCAGGGTCCCTTCCAACTCTGTTAATCTGTAATGGCTCAGTGGTTAAAGACTCTGAGTTTTTAAGTAGCCCAGGTTCAAGGCCCAAGCACTATGTGAAGGGGTGAGCTCCCTTTATTTGTCCCACCTAGCAATTTGAAAACATGCAAATGCAAGTAGATAAATAGGTACCACTTCAGTGGGAAAGTAACAGCATCCTTATACCTCGGCATACAATGCCGGTTGCTTTGACCAGGAAATGCAGATGCGCACCAATCCCTAGAGTTGGACATGACTGGACAGGGGAAACCTTTACCTTTACCTTAAGAAAACAAAGTTCACATTCCACTGTGAAACCCCAAATCTTGTAACGAGGCAAAGCTATCTTCTTCATTCAAATAAAGTTTTAATTGAAAATTGAAATTAATTTTATTTAATAATTATTTATGAATAATTGTCCATTATAAATTTCACTGTTGTTTTATTAGGCAAAATGCTGAGGAGGGGGAAGAAAATAGAAAAAAAATATACGGCTAATATTAAAGCAATACTAGATGAAGTAATGTGTACGTGGAAGTTCTCCATTTCTCCATCCAACAATGTACATTGGTACCCCACTTTAGTGACATTTTTCCATCAATTTTTTAAAAAACGTAACTATCTTTTAACTTTTCTCTCTTTTATTGACACTTTTTCCATTATTTAATATATTATTGCTTCTTTGGGATAAATAAAAAAGACACTGGATTGAAATGTTTCTTTAGGCAAAACAAATTATATTTTGTCTCATAGTCCCAATTTTCATCTGCTCTCTTCTCCCATTTGCACCAATGATTTAAAGGATTAATTTTATTGAGACTGAACATGAGTTACACTGCTTAAATATGAGACTCTAAACTTACGCATTTAAATAAAATGGACAGATTGAAAAGAGCTGAACAGATGACAATAAATCTGAAAAATCTCTGCTCAGACGATTAAGAATATGCAGTGAAAATTTTCTTATATCCATCCCCTTTCCCAACTTTATATAAAATGGCATAGTTAGAAAGTTTTACTGTTTATTTGCCTTCCATGTTACACAAATTTTTGTTTGCAAACTGTGATGTGAAAAGAGCTGCCTTTCAAAAGGAGGACAGTTAATCCCTAAGGCTTGTTGAGTTCCATATATGTGGCTGCTTGCTGTGAGACCAATTGCCTTTCATTTGTTTCTGCCTAAAGTATACAAGTGAGGATGGAGGGAGGGAGGGAAGGAAGGAATGAAGGAATTATCCAGTAAGAATCTACTTGTTGCCTCAGATGTACTATTGACTGTGAAAATGGGAACAACCCAGGGGTGGGCATCAAAAATTTTAGCAATGGGTTCTCTGTCCAGTTGCTGGTGGGTGTGGCCTAGTCGGTCTCCTGCACCACAGAGGCTTTCTTCGAGTCTCTGGGAGGGCAAAAATTCCCTCTCCTGGCTCCAGAGACTCTCCGGAAGCGAGAAACAGGCCCATTTCCGGCCTTCCTGAACTTCCAGGAGTTTTTTGCCCTCCCCAAGCCTCTATGTGCACTCTGCACTTATCTACATCCAAAATGGGCCGAGTAGAGTCTTCTAGGAGGGGAAGGGTGGGGTGGGTGGGGCCATCCAGGAGTGGGATTTGGGGGTTCTCTGAAGCTTAGCTAGGGGCTCTCCTGAACCCCACAGCAGCCCACCCCTGGAACAACCCAATTTAAATGTCTGCCTTGCAATCAGATTGCATGATAGTATTATAATGAACAGAAATAATACAGCATTAACATATACTTATAAAAACACAACACAAGAAGGAGGGAGGAAGGGAGGTAAGGAAGGAAGGAAGGAAAGAAAGAAGAAAAGAAGAGAGAGAGGGAGGGATAAAGACCTTTGCTGCTACGGTGTCATTATTGTAGGAATGCCTTACAGAAGAAAAGAAATCGATCTACAAAACCAATAAATCTAAGAAAATGAGAGAACCAAATAGGATGTATCTGCAGTATGTTCCACCTCCACAGAAAGACCCTGCTCCCATTAGAAGTAAAAGCAATGTAAACCAAAATGTTAGATTTGTCTGTGGCACTCACAGATTGTAAAATATTCTGCTCCCGGGTCATGCTTGGCTTTTTTTTTTTCATTTTGAAAGGCATTGAAAATCCTTCTTTTTCAGAAGAACTTTGACCAGGAAAAAGAACTGTGGGAGTTTCATCACTCTCAATTGCATGACTCTGATTGCTTTAAAGCAGGCAAGAAAAAATATTTTTTTTTTTGAATTACTAACTTCGGCTCACACTGCCCCAGAGGTTTTTTTGTTGTTGTTGTTGTAGATCAGAGTGATATATACAGTAAAAAACTTAAACTAAACAACATAAGCAGTTGCACATTTAATTATTCTAAAATATAAACAGAAATGTAATATTTCTCACTCCAGAGTTCCATTTCATATTCTGTAATCATCTTTTCATATGCAGTTTCAAGATTTTTTTTTTCTTTTTTGGTCTCTGTTTATCTGGTCTTAAACTTCATAGCCTTACTAAAACTGCTGCAGTGGCAATATTTAAGTTGGCACAACGGACGTCTTTATCATTTTTGGTAAGGACAAGGACTGCAGAGTGTGAGGAAAAGATCTAAATTTAGTCGACCATATCCAAAACATGAATAGGATATGGCGTCTGAAAAGAGGCATATTTTTTTCTTTTAACCATTCTAGATTTATTCACCATTTTTTGTGTTTTTCCTGCCCCCAAGTGATGGAAATAACAGTTTCAACAATTGTAATTAGTGTGGACTTCAGGAGAAATGTAATATGAAGACCTAGGGTTGCCTGCTTCTGAAATATAAGTTGTCTTAAAACTGAGGAACCTACCTACTTGGGAAATGCACTGCAAGATACACAACATTGTATAATCACAAATAATAGGAATAATAGCAATAGCATTTAGGTTTATGTATGATGCTTTATAGGACTATCTGGTTGGTTTACAATGTAGACAAATAACTTGCATATTGTTTCCAACAATCTGGGTCCTCATTTTACCAACCATGGAAGGATAAAAGGCCGAGTCAACTGTGAGCCCTGTCAGGATTAAACTCCAGGTTATGGGCAAAATTTGCCTGCAATGCTGCACTTTAACCACTGGGCCACCAGGGTTCTAAAGTTCTATAAAATGTATAGACTGAAAAATCTAGAAATGGGTATCTGGAAAAGTTGGAGTTCAACTGGATTTTTTTGCTACCCAAATATGGCCTGCTAATATTGGCAATTCTGAGTTTCAAGAAGTCCTCTTTTGCTTTAACTCCAAATGCAATATCAGGATCAAAGAGAGGCAAACCCAGCCAACATTACTAAGGTACTAGACCAACAGGAGTCAGGTAGGGTGCTATAGTTCAGCAACCATCACAGTGCCTTACATTTCTATTCTAGAAACAGTCCTTGTCAGCAGTGATGGGCTGCAACTGGTTTAACAACTGGATTGGTGAGCACATACTTTGCACATGTGCGCAGTGATGAAAATACAGAAATTTGAAGCTCAACTGCTTATCTTCTAGGGCAGCCATGGTAAGTAGAACAGTGGAGGCATGGAAATCAGTTGTGCTGTGCAAATCAGCTGATCCAGAAAGATGGAAATATAGGACATGATAGGGCAGGAGCAGGCAGGTGGGGCCAGCTGATGGTTGGAACTATTAACTGTATCAGCCCACCATTGCTTGTCAGCTTTTATTGCAATGCCAGTCAGGGTTCCAGGTAATAGACCCATAGCAAGCAAAACTCTGAGGCTGGTAGATTCCTCAAAGAATATTTTTATTGGATATATCATATTGGCACAGACCTGGTGAAAACTGACTCTAAGGGTTCCCGTGGTTTTCACCTAATTAAAAGTTTTTTACTTTTTCTAAAAACAATTAATCACATGGTCCAATCACAGTTCCATCTGGTTGCCTGGTGACATTACTCCTCCTTGCTCTGACCAGGTGTCAAAATGTCCTTGGTTCCCATGACAAAGTATTTTATTTTGGCCCAACTATCTCAATTCCCCCCCCCCCACCGTCCCTATCCTTCAGCTCCAATGGGGCAACACAGAAGGTCCAAGATGGCTTTTTGGTCATATCAGCTTCAGGGTTGACAATGTCCAGATGAAATAATTCTCCCCTTACTAATGCAAGCTCAGTTTAACAGGAAGAAAAGGAAAGGGACTGTTAATTCTTCTTCTTTTTTTTAAGAGTTAACAAGACTTCCAGTTTTATATCCCAGGCGGTACAGATTACATTCCATTTTTTAAAGCTTTGTTTGTTCTATGCTTATGTGATTGATGGCTTCCGCTGAGTACCCGTTGGCAATGGATAAGCAAATATGAGTGCCAAAGTGAACACATTTTTCTGACCTGAATTTATCTGAGATCTAAGTGAATTAACTTATGTTAAACAATGGCATGTTTGATGTGTCTATTTTGCCTTCCAGGTTTATAACTTGACCTACCAAGAGAGGGAATCCTTTGATCCCTGAATGTGAACCTCTTGTCCATGTCAATGTTTCATAACACTGATTTAATAATTTATTTTTTTAACACCCTTCATGCAATCTTAGGCTTCATCACACATCTTGGGAGAGACTGTAATATATATAAAGAATCCTCTAATCCTTCAATTTCTGCAGCTTATCATTTACCAATGACGATACGTAATTCTGGGATTCTGTAAGGTGCCTAATTATTATAATTTTCTTTATGATATATGATGGTGGACTGTTGGGAATCTAAGTCTCATTAGTTAGGATTCTGCTAATTAACTATAACATATTTGTAGGATGAAATGTTAGGGGAAAACATAGAAGGAGATTTAATGCATCTGTAACAGATTGTGCATTTTAAAATATAGCTAATACAAGCTTGCTTGTTCATTTTGTTGTTGAAAACTGCCTTTTGACTGAACAACCAATTAATTATCCAAGTTTAATATTCAAAAATGACTCTTTTTAAAGGGAGAGTTCAACTGTTATGTTTTATTTTTCTTTTTCTCTCTAGTGGACTTACCAGATTGCAAAAATAAATCATTGCCTGAGGCCAGTGTATTTCTACCTTGACAACTTTAAAGACACGTGGACTTCAACTCCCGGAACCCCACAGTGAGTAGCTAAAGTAATCTGTATTAGTAGCTCATGAGATGAATGTATAGAACAGGGGTGTCAAACTCACATTGTCACAGTGGCGTCACATGACATATCATATCCCCCTTTGCTAAACTGGGCATGGGTGTGGCTAACAAGTGATGTATCCTGCCCACAGGCCCAGAGTTTGACAGCCCTGGTATAGAATGTAATTTGCATCACATATATACTGACATCATGATGTGTGTAACATCACTCTTCCCCTCCCCCACATCCTTGCTTCTGATATTTGAGGTTTCAAGTTTTTTAAACTATTTTGATATTTTAAATGACTTTGGGGGCTCCTTCTTGCCTGAAATGATTTTTTTAAATAAAATAAAATGGTAATTTAATTTAATGCTAATGGGTCTATGGACCCAAATAGAACTTGGGTTTAAAATATTTTTTTTTCTTAAAAATAAAGCTATTCTTTTGGCTAAAACTTACATATGAAATTGGGAGAGTCGGTTTAGTGAGATAAGAACTGTTAAGAGGCAGTGGCTTGAAACTATAATTTTTTGAATGAAATCTGTAGGTCCTAAGATAAGATATATTCCATCAAATTATGGAGATCAAATAAAAAAATGGCACAGAAAAATGCATTGTTTGTGACTATGCCTTCTGAAAAGTTACTTTAAAGGAAAGAAAGTAAGCTTATTTAAAGATCTCCAGACCTGTCACGAAGCAAAGTAGGACAGTTGTTTCAAGTGTTTTGTGTTGAGAGAGGATTTATTTAATTCACTTTTAAAAACTAAGCTGCCATTCCATATGGTGAACACAGCCTCCCTTGCTTATATAACAATTTGCTTTTTCCGCAGAGAATCAGAGAGGTGCATGGTTGTACTTTAGCACTAGCAGCAAATGCCTTTGTCCACCTCTGGCACTTCAGCCTTCCCTAGTGTGAATCCCTCTCTCATATTCAGCTCCCGCTGAAGAAGCTTCTTGGATGAGAAGCAAAATGTCTTCAAAGAAAAAACAAGGAAATTCAGTTGCCTCCTAAAAAAAAGCACCTTTAGGACAACCATGGCCTGGAGGACTGAAAATTTCTACAGACCTTTAGAGGAGTATTTAAACCACTTGGTGGGCTTCATGATTTTGAGTTGGGAATTTGAGTTTGCTTTCCTGGCTCTTAATCTGACTGCTGCAAGAGGAAGAGTATAGAGTTGTAATTGCAGGAATGTTCCAATCTCGGATGGAAAACCTCAGATAAAGAATGTTTCCAAGCAAATACATCTCAGGCAAACAAAGTCACTAATCTATGGATAAAGGAGGATTAGAGAGGGGAAGTAGACGTATGTTAGACTTTAACTAGAGATAATTAATTGTATGTATTACTGTACTAAACAGTAATGAAAGTTAAGCAGTAACCAAAGTTAACCAATGATGGAGGATAACTAAAAATTTGTATAAATGCAAGACTATACTCCAATAAAGATCATCATGATTCAACTGTTCATGATCAAACAACTTGACTGTCTTGTCATTACAACAGAAGAGGAGGAAGGGGATGGAGACAGGGAGGGGAAGGAGTAGAAGGAGGAGGAGGTGATTGTCCTTGTGGATCAAATCCTTTGTTTTCAATTTTGATTTCAGAATGCACAGGAAATGACTTATGTAGTCCATTTTACTGGAATTGTATCAATGCAAAATGTGTTAAGGGACACCTCATGTACCTCAGTTATACCTACTTGTGACTCCACTAGACGTCCACCTTCATGTTGTCCTAGACAAAATTATCCAGCTCTTAGTGTTGCTGCACTATTTTTCCATTTAATCTCTATAATTTGTCTGGCAGAACGTATAGATTTCATTTAGAAAGCTACAGACGAAAGACTTCAGAATCACAGCTTTCAATAAATTAAATTATCTCCTTAGACTGAAATTGGTTAACAAATGTGCAACAAGAATAGAGCTATTAATGTTTAATATATATTTTATAATGATAGTTAATACGGCAAGCAATTCATTTAAATAGAAATGAAATAGAAAATATGGGGAAAATTAATATGCTATTTGAGCGTTAGTAAATTAGACACATTTATTGCATTTAAACCATCACAAAAGAATTGCAATTTCTATGAATGTACATACATACATAAATAATCTAAGGTGATAGCCCTACTGAATTAAAAAAGGGATTTGTATGATAAAGTATATATCTTATCAGTGTACTTTATTAAAAAAAAAATTAAGGGTACTTAGTTCTATGCTTCTATAGGACCCGGTAATCTGTGGGACAGTCTATCTCCAGGTCCTGTCAATTATCTTCCAGGTCTTAGGCAGTGCAGCCCAATCTTTAATAAATCACTGGAGATGTGTTATGCCCCTTCTTCCTTCAAACACTCTATGATCATCCCGGTGCCCAAGAAAACCTCCATCAAGGAGCTAAACAACTGTTTCTCTGACATCTTTAGTTATGAAAACCTTCAAAAGGTTAGTGCTGGCCTACCTGAAAACCATCATTGATCTGTTGCTAGATTCCTTGCAATTTGCCTACCGTGCAAATAGATTGGCAGACGATGCTGTTCATATGGCACTGCGTTACTGTACATCTTACAACACATTGAATCCCTAAGGATCTATGCAAGGGTCCTTTTTGTCTATGGAGATTCTCAGTCATCTAGGTCATGGTTGTCCCAAAGGTGCTTTTTTTTTTCAAGAGGCAACTGGACTTTCTGGTTTTTCTTTGAAAACATTTCACTACTCATCCAAGAAGCTTCTTCAGCTCTGACTGGATGGTGGGGAATGGAAAGATTTATATTTTGCAGATAGCTGGTCATTTCTTTAGAAAGTCATTGAGACCACCTGGAGGTTTATCTGTGTCCTCAGGGTCACCTGAGTGGTGCAAATTGGTGTGGAGCCTTTTTTGAATTATTGAAAGGACTGTGTTGTAGATTGGAGATAGTTGATTCCCCTCTGTTGACAGAGGGCTGTTCAATTTTGACATAGATGGCCTCTTTAGCCCTTCTTTCAAACTAGCGATCCACTCTGTCCAAAATATGGCCTTTGTTGTCTTCAAAAGAGTGGCCTTTGTCCTTTAAATGCAGATGGACTGCTGAATCTAATCCGGATGGGTTTGTTCTCCTATGTTGTGCCATGGGTTTATGAAGTGGTTGTTTCATTTCCACAATATACAGCAAAAATGGTTCTTTTTGTAGACCTCAGCTAACCATCATTCCAGAAATTCTTCTCTCTAAACTGGCTCAACTGACCACACTTGTGCGTGGACTGTAAGCTTTCTAACAAACAGTCAGCAGCAGGTGAAGCTACATGAAGTCACATCTGTTCAATTAGCACAGGAGCACCCCCCCTCCCCCCCAGCTGTGTGATTCTCCATTACTCTTTTCTCTATATACCAATGACTACATCTCAAAGGATCCCTTTGTTTAAAGTACTGAAGTTTGCAGATTATACTAGAGTCATTGGTCTCATTCAAGATGGTGAGAGGCTGGTCCTATGGTGCAGCTGGGAGAATCTAGTACTGAACACCCTTAAAACTGTAGAGATGATTGTAGATTTTAGGAGGAACCCTCCTATTCTACCACCTCCTACAATATTAAGCAACACAGTATCAACTGTAGAGACCTTCACGTTTCTGGGTTCTACAATCTCCTGAGACTTGAAATGGGCATCTAACATTAGAACTGATATTAAAAAGGTACGGACAAGAACATTCTTCCCACACCAACTCTGAAAGCTCAGATTCCCAAACAATTTTCTACAGTTCTATGAGGAATTTCTGAGTCTGTCATTTGTACTTCAGTAACTGTCTGGTTTGGTATAGCAACCAAATGGGACAGATACGGACTTCAACAAATAGTTGTACTGCAGAAAAAACAATTGCAACCAGCCTGCCTTCCATTGAGGACCTGTATACTGCACAAGCCAGGAAAAGGGCTGAGAAAATATCTATAGACCTCTCACATCCTGGACATAAACTGTTTAAAACTCCTTCCCTAGAATACTGCTATAGGGCATTGCATGCCAAAGCAACTAGACACAAAAATAGTTTTTTCAACTATGCTATCACTCTGCTAAACACATAATTGCCACATCACTGTCTTATGCCTAAGGATATCTAATCATGTGGTAGGACTGTATTACTATTATCCTTCTCACCTTTCCTATTTTCTATTCTTATTTGTATCTTATGACTATCATTTATTTGCTGTATCTTATGACTTATGCTTGTATCTTATTATTTGTGATGTATCACTTTGTTGCTTGTATGTACACTGAGAGCTTATGCAACGGAAACAAATTCCTTGTGTGTCCAATCATACTTGGCCAATAAAGAATATTCTAGTCTTTCTCTGCAGTAGCATGTACCCTGTGGAATAGCATTCTATCCTCCAATGATTCATATAGTTTCTACTCCTAGCTGTTTCAGAAGTAAATTCAAATATGACTCTGCCACATGTTGGGTTAGTATGGAGGCCATGCCTTTGCCAGTTTTTGAATATGTTTAAATGTTTACTCTTATAGATTATGTGTGCTTTGTATTGTCTAGTCTTTTTTGTAAGTGTTGTAACCAGGCCAGAGTCTCCTAGAAGTTGGGTGGTCTCCAAATCAATGAATAATCAACTGATCAATCAATCAATCAACCAATCAAATGTTTCAAGGACAAGAAGGAATATAAAAGAAAATTCTATTCCAGTTGAGATCTGTTTGTTCAACATAACTCTTTTGAATTCTCAGACATTCCATCATCCTTAATTAATTTTTAGTTCTGATGTCATTTTTTCTATCTGCTTAAAGGTTCAAGGCAAATGATTTATTCTAGACTGCTGCCTACCATCCAGCTTTAACACTTGGCTATATGAGCAAAATACATAACAAACATCAACCAATCAAACCCACAATGCTTTATTACTAAAATGAGAACCATTGAAGAAATAAAAAATAAAATTATATAATTATTAATGTAACTTATGCGTACATTAGTTTTAAGACTCTGGAATCTGCAGGATGGGAAGTGATGTGGTATGACAGATGAAGGGCAATTCCAATTAAGATGCAAAGGGCTGCAGAAACATACAAGCAGGTACATTCTTCCTGACTTGGAGACTTTCAGGAAATAAGGAATCACACACCTGGAGATATGTGAAGATATGACTGCTTGGAATGAGCTATTGTGGTTTGCACACATATGTATTCAAACAATAAATGTGTTTTAGCACAAAAATTGGACTTTTCCTATTCATGGTCAATGTATATAATTTCCCTTTTCTTCTGTATGAAATGGCTGAGGTAAAATAAAAACTTTTTTTTTTCTTTCTTAATTACACATATTTAGAAGAAAGATGAAATTAATGGCTAAGAAGAGCTTTACTTACAATTTCTCTACAGGTTAATCTGACTGACAACAGACCATATGTTATGGGTTGTCAGAAACATCAAAAACCTCTTTTCCAAAATCAAAGATTTCAAATAAATACAAAATACCTCCATACCCAACTGCTGTACTAAAATAATAATAATAATTCTCTCAAGGTATAATCACCCTTTAATCAATCTTCTGACAGGTAATGATTAGACTTCTTTGACCTGTTTCTCTTAATTGAGCCATATTTATATTTATTATCTTCCTTTGTGCTTCAATGTCACCCAGTTTCAGTCAGAATAGAATAGAATAGAATAGTTTATTGGCCAAGTGTGATTGGACACACAAGGAATTTGTCTTTGTGTAAATACTTTCAGTATACATAAAGAAAAGGTACATTTGCTAAGAATCAAGAATCATAACGTACAACACTTAATGACAGTCATAGGGTACAATCAACAATCAAATCTTACTAGGAAATAGTCAAGTGGGAGGGGATGGGTGATAAGGAGTGGTGAGAAGATTAACAGTAATAATAGTGTACGCTTTGTAAATTGTTGAACAGTGTTGAAGGAATTATTTATTTAGCAGAGTGATGGCGTTTGGGGAAAAAAACGGTTCTTGTGTCTAGTTGTTCTGGTGTGCAGTGCTCTACAGCATTGTTTTGAGGGACGGAGTTTTAACAGTTTATGTCCGGGATGTGAGGCGTCTGTAAATATTTTTACAGCCCTCTTTTTTGACTCGTGCAGTATACAGGTCCTCAATTGAAGGCAGGTGGGTAATAATTATTCTTTCCGCAGTCCTAATTATCCTCTGAAGTCTGTGTCTGTCCTGTTGGGTTGCAGAACCAAACCAGACAGTTATAGAGGTGCAGATGATAGACTCAATAATTCCTCTGTAGAACTGTATCAGCAGCTCCTTGGGCAGTTTGAGCTTTCTGAGTTGGTGCAGAAAGAACATTACTTGTTGTGCTTTTTGATGAAGTTTTTGATGTTAGGTGTCCATTTTAGGTCATGTGATATAGTAGAACCTAGAAATTTGAAGGTCTCTACTGTTGATACTATGTTGTCTAGTATTGTAAGAGGTGGTAGTATAGGAGGGTTTCTTCTAAAGTCTACCACCATTTCTATGATTTTGAGTGTGTTCAGTTCCAGACTGTTC